AATTTTGAAAAAAAAATAGTAATAATAATAATAATTTTGAAAAAAAAAATAATAGTACGAATTATAATTTTGGGGAACAAAAATAATATGACTACTTTTATATAGCGCATCCCCATGCTCTTCAGCAAGTTGTATGTGCTTTGTAACTATAGTGCATACAGTGCAAGCAGCCATAGAGCGTTCAGACAGTGACAAACCGACATGATCTTTCGCTGTCTATAGCTGGGTACCACTAGAGACACTTGAGAGTGGGACTGATGTGAACAAAGATATATTGCACTTGATTTGGAGTCTACATAATTTGATAAGTAGGCACCACGTCAGAGTAGTCCTACAATGGATTCCTGGAAATGAAAGAGCTGATGCTCTGGCAAAGAAAGGAGCTAGCCTCCCTCAGCCTGAAATTCCTACGAATTACACCACCTGCTGCCAAATGATCAAGTCAAACCTCAAGGAAACTGGATGAATGATTGGGCCATAGGTATCCTCTCCCACGCGTGTGAAGTGAAAAACATTTTTGTAGCTTGCCTTTTCCAAGGACACAACGTCGGACCCCTGATGGGGCTCGAACTTATGACCTTTCAAGTACGATCCCAATGGCGTAACTACTCGCTAGACCACCGATGCAACATGTCGTATTTTTTTGTGTGTGTGGCGGTCAATTGCCGGGCCCAGTGACGTGACCAACCGCCGACCACTCCACTCCGGCCCAGGCACCGTGTGAGGGGAGTACTCAGCCGTGACCTAGGTCTGGTCAAATCCTGCACACTAATCTCCCCTCAAGCTGGTCGATGCCGGACTGAGCTTAACCCTTTTACGTCTTAGAGTTCCTTACTTTATCTATGCTTTCAGTCCCTTTTCTTGTGTCACCAGAGTGTAATATTCTATGTAGATTGTATTGTCTTTGTTCGTTTTTTACCTCTGATTAGGGACTTTATGGTTAGGCGCTGACGTGTGATACGGACACATGCTTTTTTGTTCTTTGCCGTAACAGCTCGGTCTAAATCGGTCCCGTTTTTTCCTGTGGGGTAGAGAGGGTAGGTTAGTGTAGAGTGAAGGATCTTTGGACGTGAGTGTTGCGCACGTCTGTTAAGTGATAGGTAGGCCTGCAGGTTGCTGTTTTCTGTACCTATCTCGTGTGTGTTGTTGTTGCTGTAGTTGTGGTGGTTGCTTCAGGGACCCTTTGGATGTTGTACGTGTTGTGGTGGTGGTGGTTGTTCCAATGGTCAACAAATTCTTGATTTTGAGTACGGATAAGCACCTAGACACGACGTCGTCCATTCAGTTCAGAGTGAGAGAGAGAGAAGAAACGAGGCAGATCTAATTGACTGATGGAGATTGCAGAGGGAAAGAATTTAAGAGGGTACGAACAACTTGTTCCAACCTCCAGTGTGTTGTCTTCACCGTGTGCTTCACACAGGCTCGTTGTTTTTTTATTCAGTTTCAGAAAGAGTTTGATTGATCATTATTGATTTCTTAGCAGACGCCTATAGGAGTTTATGTCCGATGTCTAGTGGTTTAAAACGCTCGAACGTGATGTAAACGATCACTGTATCATAATATGTAGACATTTTAAACCGTGCCCCTGTACATGTAGTCATTTGTGACTTTCCAAGAGTGGGGGGGGGGGAGAGAAAATACAGCAGAAACAGGGAAATATGTGTATATTTCAAACTTCCAAAAGTGAACAAATGTTATCTGAGTTCATGTGCAATATCTTACTGAATGATCTCTATCAAGGCGTTATGTTGTGTATGTCTCTAAATTAAACTTACTTTTTTTGCCCCAATCTGGTGAAACCATCACTCTACCTTTGCTTCCCAGCCATGTTGACTCATTATAACTGTATTTCTGTTCGACTGTTGGTTGATTATTGTTGGTAGATTTCCCATTCAAAAACACTGAACAATAAACCATCAGTCAAACAAAGATGAAGTTATGAGTCCACAAGCTTTTAAAACTGCCACCATCACAATTTCCAATTTGTGACAATGGCAATGAGACTATGTCAAAGAATCTTTGGAACTCACTGGTAATGCCAAACAGTGAAATTCCATTCTCTCACTCGAACAATAAAAATTAAGACCGTCAAAATCAGAACAGACTTGCCAACATCCAGCCTAGCTTTCGTCCAGGAAACCAGTCGTGTCTCTTCTGCGTAGATAAAAAGTAATATGTGAGGCAGCGTGGTGGATTCAGGCTCTCGTCAGTTTTTGGGCATGTAGAGTTATTGTGGTATCATCTTAAAGCTTGTTCACTTGTCTTTATTTGGATGGAAAAAAATATCCATTTATCTTGAATACAAGTCGAAATATTTGCGAAAGAAGGAGGTGGGGGTCACCTGTTTTCAAATGTAAAATTAGGGAAAAAATGGCCGCCAAAAATTAGTTATTTACAAAAACGAAAACTACTCCAAGTAAAAATTAAATAGACTTTTTGTGTTTCCTTAAAACAGGAGGATTACATCTCGGAACTCCAGGAGAAATTGAAGAAACTCAAAGTGAGACTTGCCAAAGAAAAGGTTCGTGAATTGTGTGCTATTTTGACTTTATGTTCTTTCTGGGTATAGAACAGGTTTTACTTTGTACTTGTACATATTGTCTGTGAGCTGAATCCTATATTGAATCTCACAGATATATCTATTTGGACAGCAAGCTGGTCTACTGTTCTTAGCCCAGAAAACAAGATTTCTGTTTTGTTTTGTTTGGGTTTTTTTGTTGTGTTTTTTCGTGTCTGTGTGTTTTTGCTTTTTATATTTAGAATTTTAATTTCGACTTAATATTTTTCTAGCGCATGCAATTGACAATACAGATTAAGAAATTGCGCATAAAAAAGAGCTTTTTACATGTGAACAGATAGCCATCCATAATAATGTCTTTCAGTATCTTCTGTTGGCTGACCTGTCTGTGTAAATGAATGCAAATAGTTTAATTATTATTATTATTCAAAAAAAAAAAAAAATTTTTAAAAT